CTATCTCTGTCTGTCTGTCTGTCTGTCTCTCTATCTATCTATCTCTGTCTGTCTGTCTGTCTGTCTCTCTATCTATCTATCTCTGTCTGTCTGTCTGTCTGTCTCTCTATCTATCTATCTCTGTCTGTCTGTCTGTCTGTCTCTCTATCTATCTATCTCTGTCTGTCTGTCTGTCTGTCTCTCTATCTATCTATCTCTGTCTGTCTGTCTGTCTGTCTCTCTATCTATCTATCTCTGTCTGTCTGTCTGTCTGTCTCTCTATCTATCTATCTCTGTCTGTCTGTCTGTCTGTCTCTCTATCTATCTATCTCTGTCTGTCTGTCTGTCTGTCTCTCTATCTATCTATCTCTGTCTGTCTGTCTGTCTGTCTCTCTATCTATCTATCTCTGTCTGTCTGTCTGTCTGTCTCTCTATCTATCTATCTCTGTCTGTCTGTCTGTCTGTCTCTCTATCTATCTATCTCTGTCTGTCTGTCTGTCTGTCTCTCTATCTATCTATCTCTGTCTGTCTGTCTGTCTGTCTCTCTATCTATCTATCTCTGTCTGTCTGTCTGTCTGTCTCTCTATCTATCTATCTCTGTCTGTCTGTCTGTCTGTCTCTCTATCTATCTATCTCTGTCTGTCTGTCTGTCTGTCTCTCTATCTATCTATCTCTGTCTGTCTGTCTGTCTGTCTCTCTATCTATCTATCTCTGTCTGTCTGTCTGTCTGTCTCTCTATCTATCTATCTCTGTCTGTCTGTCTGTCTGTCTCTCTATCTATCTATCTCTGTCTGTCTGTCTGTCTGTCTCTCTATCTATCTATCTCTGTCTGTCTGTCTGTCTGTCTCTCTATCTATCTATCTCTGTCTGTCTGTCTGTCTGTCTCTCTATCTATCTATCTCTGTCTGTCTGTCTGTCTGTCTCTCTATCTATCTATCTCTGTCTGTCTGTCTGTCTGTCTCTCTATCTATCTATCTCTGTCTGTCTGTCTGTCTGTCTCTCTATCTATCTATCTCTGTCTGTCTGTCTGTCTGTCTCTCTATCTATCTATCTCTGTCTGTCTGTCTGTCTGTCTCTCTATCTATCTATCTCTGTCTGTCTGTCTGTCTGTCTCTCTATCTATCTATCTCTGTCTGTCTGTCTGTCTGTCTCTCTATCTATCTATCTCTGTCTGTCTGTCTGTCTGTCTCTCTATCTATCTATCTCTGTCTGTCTGTCTGTCTGTCTCTCTATCTATCTATCTCTGTCTGTCTGTCTGTCTGTCTCTCTATCTATCTATCTCTGTCTGTCTGTCTGTCTGTCTCTCTATCTATCTATCTCTGTCTGTCTGTCTGTCTGTCTCTCTATCTATCTATCTCTGTCTGTCTGTCTGTCTGTCTCTCTATCTATCTATCTCTGTCTGTCTGTCTGTCTGTCTCTCTATCTATCTATCTCTGTCTGTCTGTCTGTCTGTCTCTCTATCTATCTATCTCTGTCTGTCTGTCTGTCTGTCTCTCTATCTATCTATCTCTGTCTGTCTGTCTGTCTGTCTCTCTATCTATCTATCTCTGTCTGTCTGTCTGTCTGTCTCTCTATCTATCTATCTCTGTCTGTCTGTCTGTCTGTCTCTCTATCTATCTATCTCTGTCTGTCTGTCTGTCTGTCTCTCTATCTATCTATCTCTGTCTGTCTGTCTGTCTGTCTCTCTATCTATCTATCTCTGTCTGTCTGTCTGTCTGTCTCTCTATCTATCTATCTCTGTCTGTCTGTCTGTCTGTCTCTCTATCTATCTATCTCTGTCTGTCTGTCTGTCTGTCTCTCTATCTATCTATCTCTGTCTGTCTGTCTGTCTGTCTCTCTATCTATCTATCTCTGTCTGTCTGTCTGTCTGTCTCTCTATCTATCTATCTCTGTCTGTCTGTCTGTCTGTCTCTCTATCTATCTATCTCTGTCTGTCTGTCTGTCTGTCTCTCTATCTATCTATCTCTGTCTGTCTGTCTGTCTGTCTCTCTATCTATCTATCTCTGTCTGTCTGTCTGTCTGTCTCTCTATCTATCTATCTCTGTCTGTCTGTCTGTCTGTCTCTCTATCTATCTATCTCTGTCTGTCTGTCTGTCTGTCTCTCTATCTATCTATCTCTGTCTGTCTGTCTGTCTGTCTCTCTATCTATCTATCTCTGTCTGTCTGTCTGTCTGTCTCTCTATCTATCTATCTCTGTCTGTCTGTCTGTCTGTCTCTCTATCTATCTATCTCTGTCTGTCTGTCTGTCTGTCTCTCTATCTATCTATCTCTGTCTGTCTGTCTGTCTGTCTCTCTATCTATCTATCTCTGTCTGTCTGTCTGTCTGTCTCTCTATCTATCTATCTCTGTCTGTCTGTCTGTCTGTCTCTCTATCTATCTATCTCTGTCTGTCTGTCTGTCTGTCTCTCTATCTATCTATCTCTGTCTGTCTGTCTGTCTGTCTCTCTATCTATCTATCTCTGTCTGTCTGTCTGTCTGTCTCTCTATCTATCTATCTCTGTCTGTCTGTCTGTCTGTCTCTCTATCTATCTATCTCTGTCTGTCTGTCTGTCTGTCTCTCTATCTATCTATCTCTGTCTGTCTGTCTGTCTGTCTCTCTATCTATCTATCTCTGTCTGTCTGTCTGTCTGTCTCTCTATCTATCTATCTCTGTCTGTCTGTCTGTCTGTCTCTCTATCTATCTATCTCTGTCTGTCTGTCTGTCTGTCTCTCTATCTATCTATCTCTGTCTGTCTGTCTGTCTGTCTCTCTATCTATCTATCTCTGTCTGTCTGTCTGTCTGTCTCTCTATCTATCTATCTCTGTCTGTCTGTCTGTCTGTCTCTCTATCTATCTATCTCTGTCTGTCTGTCTGTCTGTCTCTCTATCTATCTATCTCTGTCTGTCTGTCTGTCTGTCTCTCTATCTATCTATCTCTGTCTGTCTGTCTGTCTGTCTCTCTATCTATCTATCTCTGTCTGTCTGTCTGTCTGTCTCTCTATCTATCTATCTCTGTCTGTCTGTCTGTCTGTCTCTCTATCTATCTATCTCTGTCTGTCTGTCTGTCTGTCTCTCTATCTATCTATCTCTGTCTGTCTGTCTGTCTGTCTCTCTATCTATCTATCTCTGTCTGTCTGTCTGTCTGTCTCTCTATCTATCTATCTCTGTCTGTCTGTCTGTCTGTCTCTCTATCTATCTATCTCTGTCTGTCTGTCTGTCTGTCTCTCTATCTATCTATCTCTGTCTGTCTGTCTGTCTGTCTCTCTATCTATCTATCTCTGTCTGTCTGTCTGTCTGTCTCTCTATCTATCTATCTCTGTCTGTCTGTCTGTCTGTCTCTCTATCTATCTATCTCTGTCTGTCTGTCTGTCTGTCTCTCTATCTATCTATCTCTGTCTGTCTGTCTGTCTGTCTCTCTATCTATCTATCTCTGTCTGTCTGTCTGTCTGTCTCTCTATCTATCTATCTCTGTCTGTCTGTCTGTCTGTCTCTCTATCTATCTATCTCTGTCTGTCTGTCTGTCTGTCTCTCTATCTATCTATCTCTGTCTGTCTGTCTGTCTGTCTCTCTGTCTATCTATCTATCTATCTATCTATCTATCTGACTATTTCTTTCTATCTATCTATCTATCTATCTATCTGAGGATCTATCATATATTATAAATATCCTCATGAGCACTTCTCTATGACGTCCAATTATTTTGGCCGAACTACGGATGTAGCATGGTGTGGATGTGTTTTCTGTGAGCTCACAGAGTCACATCTCACAAACAAACAAGCAGTGTGCAGTGTCCACTAAAGAAAAAACACACGCTTGTAGACAATGGGCTAAAGTTTTTAATGTGCTGCTGGTTGGAGTTTCCTCAGAGCATAGTATGACCTTTATTACGCCGAGTTTGAAATGTGTAGCTGTTTTGTAAAAAGGTTACAATATAAACAGCATCACACCAAAATCAGCTGCAACTGGGTTACACTTTATTTTAAGGTGTCCTTGTCACAGTGTAATTATACATTTAAGTACTGAGTAATATTAATTAGCTACATGTACTTACTATATGGTTAGGGTTAGGATTAGGGGTTGGCTTAGGGTTACATGCATGTAATTATGCATAATTTACCTTATTATTATAGTAAGTACATGTAACACGTGTAACAAGGACACCTTAAAATAAAGTGTTACCGAAACTGATACTAAAGATGTTCATGTAGGCCCATTTACAGCTCATGGACTGTTTCAATCAAATGTTTTTTTTCAGTAGCTTAAATGAACAATTCAACCACAAATACAAGTTTGTCATCATTTACTAAACCCATATGCATTATTTAATAATCAAAATGTTGATGATTAGATGAACTATCCCTTTAAAAGACATGATTAGGAACCCTAAGACATTTACCTCACACAGTTCCCCAACAGTCCCGCATCAAACGGTGTAAAGATCTGAGACTTTTTATGAGGCTTTATTTGTGTCTTTACAGCACAAAGAAAGCAGAGAGAGAGCGAGAGAGAGAAGTTGGGAGAGAAAGTGAGTGTAAGTGGAGCGACAGCAGGAGAGGAGGAAGGGAGCGGATACAGCTCACCATCAGCCTCCAGACTCTCTGTGTTCACATACGAGTGTGTGTTTGGAGGAAGGAGTGGCTACAGAGCTGCTGAATGAAGAGCACATCCACACATGCAGAAGAACTTGAGCAGCCGAACTCTGATTTATGAGATGTGAACCCGTCGACAACAGCGCGACCGCTGGGAAAAAGCACTTCAATTCAGCCCTAATTACTCGCATGCGGCTGTGACATCAACAAGGAGCCTAATTCACAACACATGGCCTCTCTAACGCACATGCATCATCTACAGATCCTTCACATATCTGCAGAAGAACATGCTTAAGAGACCAGCAGACTCTCTAGACTACATACACAAGCATATTCATCTATCTTAGCTTGAATGTATTGAACTACAATGCATCACTCAAGCATTGCATAACATTTTTAATAAAGTGACCTTTATCTCGATCCCAAATCAAAAGCATGCAAACGGTCACTTACTATCGGTGAGCATGCAGTGCATTTGTCGAACGCCACGCTTGCAGGAAGAACGTTGTCAAATCTTGACAGGAATCCTCGAATCTGGAAAGAAAACAAATGATTTTAAGCTACAGAACCAGGATAGAAAACATTCATTAATCTCTAGCGCCACCTGGTGCCTGTCAGTAAAGACAGCAGGCGGCAGACATTAGAAACACCAAACACTGAGCTCAGCTTGGGGTCTGAGACCCTTCAATGGGTTTTCCTGATCTTATGTAAGACGAGTGTTAACAAAAAATTCAGCTTGATATTATTTGTCATACATCTTCCATGAAAAGTGTCACATTACTTAGGTTTGCTGTCATCGGAGAAAACTACACAATGAATTTTAACAATTCTTCCGGAAATGTTTATTTTGAAATGAATATTCTGAAAAGAATGAATATATTTTTCAAATGACAAACTTAATGTTACTTAAAATGGTTACGTAAATCATGTCCAATTTTAAAGCTGTTAAAGAGAATGCTGTTGCTTTATTTCACACTAATTTTGTTTTAAGCTTTAGAAGTATAATTACATCAACAAATTGTATGAACTTATATTTTGCATAGTACAAATAAAGCATATTGAGGACAATTGCTTTTTTCATTTTGAAAATTTTAATGACATTGACATTTATTACTTATTATTGAAAATAGTTTGTACTGGATGTGATTTTTTAAAGTAATATTGTATGAAATGTTGATATGTTTTTTTGTTTGGTAGACATTTTGGCATGGAAAGTACAATATAAAAATGCATATTCTTGCAAAAAACATTTTTCTGCAAGTAAATGTAAATGATTATTAGTTTGTTTTTTTCGGTATGAAAGCCACGCCATGCTCATCTAGCAGCCCACTCCACAGCAGCAGAGCAAAGTGCTTTCTTGTGATGTAAAAACGGCAGGCAAATGACAGCGCTGTGTTCAATTACAGTCACGGATCTCTCACCGCATGCATGTGTCTCAGGAATTGCTGCTGCTGGCTGATCTTAATTGAAAGCAAATTAAAGGAAGAGCCCGAGGGGAAGATAAGAGGGGTCGAGTCTTCGGCATGAAGATTAGCAGGCGTTTACAGGCGCTGATGCATTACGCACTGCCCATGAATCCACGCGCTCCAGCGCAAGACACTTTGATGTAAATCCACATTTATGGAGCCAAATCCACCAAATAAGAGAGATTCATACATGGACATTCATCTTCTGCTCAAATCTGTTAAAATATAATTACTTTTTAAATCAAATTGAGGGAAGAAAAAAAAAACGGGGAACTGAAATTGTTAAGTTTGAGCATGAGATTATATCAGAATATTTGCATACAGCAGCTTCAAAAAATACACACTTCAAAATGAATGTCAATGCAACAAAATACGAAAGCAAGTATCAATATTGGTGAAGTGTCACCCTCCAAGACTCTGTATGTGTGTCCCCCCCCTCCTCTCCATGTGCCTGCCCTGACCTAGTTTCTCCCTCATGTTAATTGTTCATTGCTCCCAGGTGTGTCTCGTCATCCCCTCGTCAAGTCAAGTATATAAAGAGTGTTCTGTTCCGTGTTTCCTTTGTCTGGTGTCTATCGTCCATTGTGCTACATGTATTCCCTGTTTCAGATATTAAAAGACTGTTGATTGTGATTCTCCTGCGTTCCTCGTTCCCTTCCATAGGCAATCGTGACAGAACACCGGACCTAAACAGTGTTGGCGTGTTTCCCCCCATTTTTGTTTTCTGTGTTTCTATGGATCCCCTCGCCTGGAAGTTTACCTCCCTTGCCCGAAAGGACCCTTCCCTATTGGAGAATGCGGTTGAGTTCAGCCAGCTTGCCGTTTTAACAGCGTTCGACGACGCTACACTGAACTCACTGTTCTGGACCGGGGCAAATTGGAGAGTGTCTACCCCCAATCCGGAACACGACCAAACCCAGAGCCCAGCCCACCATCACCTCGCTGTGCGGAGCAAGAGCCCGGAGTT